CCTCCCCTCCCCTCCCCTCCCCTCCCTCTGAAATATGTCAGCCTGTTGCATGTTTCAATGTCTCTGGATCTGTTTTGTTCATCAATTTATTTTGTGCATTAGATTCCACATATGAGTGATGTTGTGTAATACTTGTCTTTCTCTGACTGGCTTATTTCCTTAGCATAATGCTCTCCATCCATTTGTTCGAGGTTGTTCTTTTTTCAAAGTTGTGAGGGGAGAAGAACCTGGTGCTGGTGATAAGTGGGGAGGGTGTGCAGTGCGGGGGCGGGATGAGAAGGTGGCACACAGCCATGCTATGAGGGGAAATGAAGTGTTTTTAGACAGTTCAGGGCTAAGTGTGGCCAGGAAAAAAGTCAGGACAAGTCATTGATAGACTAGGGTTTGGAAGAAGCCAAAGCAGAGAGCACCGTAGAGTGAGACATTAGGAGCCACACTGAGTGAGGGCTCCGGGGTCCCGGAAAGTGACTCCACAGACAAATGCACTGAAACCAGCCTGTGCCTGTAGCATTTCTGTCACAGTGAAGGCTCAGGCTCTGTGGGTGGTTCAGCAAATTACATGTACTGCCTACCTCAGAGGACTTTGTTTGGCTACAGTGAGAACTTTTATTTGAAAGGGCTTTGGAAAGTGCTATAAAGCATCATGCAAATGTATGAAGAAGTATTACATGAAGGCATAATAATGAACTGTGGCATTCATTCTTTAATTTCATTTCCAAGCCAAATCTCTCCTTAATATTTCAAGATTTATTATTGCTGAATAAGAAATATTAAAACATTCGCCAAAGCCATTGTCATGAATATAAGATCTTATTTAAAAACCTCTGCTTCAATGAACTAACTTTTTAAATATTAAAAATAAATTCCTTTGAATTAACTACTCCATACATAGCTGTTCATATAATTCATATATCATAAACAGTATTTGAATTGAAGTAGAGTTTACTTTTATGACCGATTTTTATCTATCAAATCATTTTCATGGTTTTTATACATTTGGGTACGTTTAGCACAATTTTTCAGCCATGCTTTCTTAACGATTTTTTAAACTATTTGCTTTTTAATTCACCAAGAATTCAGACTCAGTTTAATGAATTTAATAAATGATTGGGCTAATAGAGATTTTCTCATTTATTATAACTAAACTGGGTCACCTAAGGTTTATGTTCAGCAGAGGTCACCTTAGTTCATTAGACCAGCAATCCTTTCTGAACAGCCATCTGGAGCACAGTGTTTTGCAGAACTCATCTGAGTTTTCGGCCGAGTCCCAGCTCTGCCATCTGTAGGGTCAGGGTCACTCTGCAGTGTTCATTTGTGGGTTTTTTCATTTAATGTCATTCTACCCCCTTTAATATGTTGTGTGTCTGTGTCTATGTGTGAAAGAGAGAGTGCGTGAGAGACAGAAAGAGAGTAGTGTGAGTGGTGCACGTTGTGTATCTCAGCATCCCCTATTTAGTGATAGCATATCTAGAGTATTCAAGCCATTTGTCAAGGAATTTTGATTCTGGGGTATTTGAATAGCTTACAAAGTTAAGATATCCATCATTATTAGAAAATTAATTTTTTATCATTATGTAATCTACCAAGTAGAGACGTAGCTATGAAACTTTTGGGTTTTATGTGAATGGGCTATCAGGTAGAGTTCAAAAAGTTATCTCATTGAATAAGAATTTCTATAGAGGTGAGATACATGTAGGGATACTTAAATGTATTATGTATGTGTATCCACAGAAGTATTTCCTATTTGGCATGATTCTGTGTGTGTGTGTGTATGTCTCTCTGTGTGTGTCTATGTGTGTCTGTGTGTATATGTCTGTGTGTGTATGTGTCTTTGTGTGTGTATCCATACACAAAATGCATTACAAAATGATATCCTTAAAGAATAATAATGGGATCCCTATCCAGCCTTTAACAGAAAGTTACCAGCCTCATATCTAAACTGTACTCTGGAGCCTGGCCAGGGTAGTACATGGTTGACCGTCGACCCATGAACCTGGAGATTGTGGTTTGATTCCAGGCCGGGACATATACCCAGGTTGTGGGCTCGATCCCCAATAGGGGGTGTGCAGGAGGCAGCTGATGATTCTGTGTCACCATTGATGATTCTATCTCCCTCCTCCCCTTCC